AGGCAAAAGTTCAAAGACAAAGAGAGAATCTTAAAAGCAGCAAGAGATAAGCACTTAGTTACCTACAATAAAAACTTTGCAGGCCAGAAGTGGGTGGCAAGAAATATTCAAAATGAGGAAAAGCAAGAACTAAACCAAAATTACTCTACTCCGCAAAGCTATCCTTTAGAATTGAAGGATAGAGACAAGAAAAAGCTAAAGGAGTTCAGCACACTAAACCAATGGTCGGCAAACTCATTAGTCAACAGAGCCAAATATCAACAGTACAACGATTGAAATTTCTTTTGAGAGCCAAATTTTTTAAACTTAAACTATATAGGTAGGTACATTGTTATTAACTTAATTAGGGTACTCCTAAAGCTTAGGAAGAGCCACACTCAAGGGGCCAAAGAGCTGCATGTGGTTCGCGAGCTGCAGTTTGCCGACCACTGCACTAAACCATTATTACATGAAACGTTAAAGGGTCTTCTTTAAGAAGGGGGAAAAGGTAAAAAATATGAACAATAAAATGGCAATAAATACATATCTATCAACAATTAAATCTAAAAAACAAAATAAACAAACAAGCAGAACAGAAACAGACTCATAGACGCAGAGAACATTTTGACATTTGCCAGATGGGATGGGGGAAGGAGATGGGTGAAAAAGTGAAGGGATTAAGAAGTACAAATTGGTTATTGCAGAATAGTCATGGGGATGTAAAGTACAGCACAGGGAATGTAATCAATAATATTCTAATAACTATGTATGATGTCAAATAGGTGCGAGATTTATCAGGATGATCACCTAGTAAGTTATGTAATGTCTAATCACTGGGTGTACACCTGAAACTAATATAATAATGTATGTCAACTGTAATTGGAAAATAAAAAAAATAATTTAAAAAAAGACATCACCGAATAAACCACATTGATTGATAACAGACCCCTCTCTCCAAAATGAATCACCAGTAGGTACTTCTAAAACAATGAACAAATTTCCACAGTGTTGACCTAGTATGGACAAGAGCTCATCATCTACACCCTACCATCTAGAGGCCTATGGTTCCAGAGCTGCCAGCCTGAGAACCAATGCCCTAAGACGTGACCCTGCACATGGTAGCTGACTCTTCTGACAATGGACTGAGAGCAGGACAAGAAAACAGGGTTGGGAGGAGGAGAGAGACAAAACTAGGGTGGACGTCATTGGTTTGGCTTGCCATAGCAGAGACTGCGAGTTGTCCACCATAATCCACTCCCACATTCTGGCATAAAAGAGCATTAAGGCGAGAAGGCTGCATTTTCCTACCCCGTCCCCCATGCCACATCCAGGCCAGCAGCTTCAGGGTGAGTGACCTTTCCACACCTGTACCAGACCTGGTGCCACCCTACCCAGGTCTCCAGAGCATTTGGTTCTTTGTGCTGAAGGCTGCTTATGGCCCACCCGTCATGCTGCCTGAGAGCTTTTCCTGGCACAAGAAGCATGCTAGGCCAGTGCACAGGGAAAGCTGGAAGGGACCAGAAATGAATGTCCCCAATGCCAGCACCTCAACTAAATCCTCAAGAATGAGGAGGTAGTAGACAAATGGTTTCCTATGCCCCTCAAATGGGGTGACTCTAAGGCAGGTCTGTACTGTCATCCAGAGATCCCTGCAGTGGTTAAGCTCCAGTTGTCCACAGCAATAACTTCCTTATCTTCCCTTTGTTGGCTGTCTTCCCTTCCCTGTCACACTTCCCCACTGCCCTGCAGAAGCTTCCTGGGATCACTCTCCAAAGCGATTGAGTAGAACTTGAAGCCTTGCCTTGGAGGAACTCAGACCAAGACAACTCTCCTACTGGCCGAAACTCAGAGACCCAGTTCGACCATGCCTATGCTGACAATGTCCTAGGGCAGTGATGGCAAACCTATGACACGCGTGTCAGAGGTGACACACGAACTCATTTATTTTTTGGTTGATTTTTCTTTATTAAATGGAATTTAAATATATAAAATAAATATCAAAAATATAAATCTTTGTTTTACTATGGTTGCAAAGATCAAAACATTTCTATATGTGACACGGCACCAGAGTTAAGTTAAGGTTTTTCAAAATGCTGACACGCCGAGCTCAAAAGGTTCGCCATCACTGTCCTAGGGCATGGCAGAGCAAGGAAGGAAAGAAGTCTGGGTCCCCGAGTGATAGCATGGAGGAGAGCCACCCATCAATCCAGGACTGCTGGGTGAGAAATGATCTTCTTAAAAAATAAATAAATGAAGTGACCTTCTCTCTTCTTTAAGCCATAGCACTTCTTAGGAATCTTTGTTACTACAGCCATAGGTGTCTTAGCTAGTACACCTACTTAATATCTATTTTCTCTCTGGTCACGGCACCCTGCTTTTCTGCTGGGGAACCACTCCCAGGCCAGAGGTATAGCTGACCTGCTGTCTCTACCCCTGCTTCAGGGAAGGCAGGGGCATAAGACTCCGGCTTGGGGGAAAAGAGCCCCTATTTCCCCCAGCAGGATGACTGGCTCAGGGGCAGGCCCAAGAGCCAAACCAGGCCAATCAGAGACAAGAAGCATCAGCCCAAGATCGTTGGCTAAAAGACAAACCCTCCTTCCGCTGGGCTGCTGCACTGTGGGATAGAAGTCCAAGGGTGGATGGTCATCTAGCTTCCACTTCAGCCTGCCTGAGAAAGAAGCCACCTGGGGGGAAACTGGGTAAAAGAAAGATGAAGAACAATGACTTGATTTAAGCACCTGTACTTACCACCCCTGAAGCGGGAACAACCTTAGACTTAGCTAATAGATCAGCATTCCTGTCAAAGACCTTTTAAGCTGAATTTCTATCACCTGCAACCAAAATAGTTCTGCTTAGTAAAAATCTGACCCCAAAGAGAACATCACATCAGCTAGTTCACAATTCCTGTGCAAAACAGGCCACAGGCCGTTAATCCAGCCAGAGCAATTTAGATATTTCCTTACAGGAATGTTCGTTTTGGTTTTTAAAAAATATATATATTTTTTATTGATTTCAGAGAGGAAAAGAGAGAGGGAGATAGAAACATGGATGATGAGAGAGAACTGGCTGCCTCCTGCACACCCCACACTGGAGATCAAGCCTGCAACTTGGGCATGTGCCCTGACCGGGAATCGAACCGTGACCTCCTGGTTCATAGATTGACACTCACTGAGCCACCGCTGCCAGGCAGGAATGTTCCTTATGGTGTCTAATGACCCAGATAACTGAGGAAAGCAAACCAATTCTAGCCTCTCTCTCCTCTGTATCAAGTGTTAGGAGACACAACACAATGTTAACAATTTGCCCACTGGAGCCAGGGTTGAGCCTCCGTGCAGGCTGACCCTGGACGCTGCACTACATCCCACGGTGCTGCTGTGGGTCCCTTCCAATGGCCACCAGTTGCTGGCCTCTGCTGTCACCTCATCTGCTCACAGGTACAGAGAGCTGGCCCCCAGTTGTGCTCTGAGGATGGCTCCAGAGAACATGTGCGGCGACACACAAGTCGTAGGTGCCCTGCAAAAGGGCAAATTTCCTTCCTTCTGAAAGAAAAGTGCTGATTTGGGAGAGAAGTGTCATGGGATATGCTACTAATACCGTCCAGATATTGGCATAATGGCTGGCCCACAGTGTGGAAGAGGAAAAGGGGAGGGAAGGTGGAAGGAAAGGAGGGAGAGGAAAAGGAAGGAAAGAAGAGAGGAAGGGGGACAACGGAAGAGGGAGGAAATAAGAAAATGGTCTCATCATCCAAATGTTCCCCTAGGCCAGTGGTCGGCAAACTATTAGTCAACAGAGCCAAATATCAACAGTACAACGATTGAAATTTCTTTTGAGAGCCAATTTTTTTTTTTTAAATACATTTTTATTGATTTCAGAGAGGAAAGTAGAGGGAGAGAGAGATGGAAACATCAATGATGAGAGAGAATCACTGATCGGCTGCCTCCTGCACGCCCCCCACTGGGGATCATGCTCACAACCCAGGCATGTGCCCTTGACTGGAATCGAACCTGGGACCCTTCAGTCCGCAGGCCAACACTCTATCCACCGAGCCAAACCAGCCAGGGCGAGAGCCAAATTTTTAAAACTTAAACTATACAGGTAGATACATTGTTATTAACTTAATTAGGGTACTCCTAAGGCTTAGAAAGAGCCACACTCAAGGGGCCAAAGAGCCGCATGTGGCTCGCGAGCCGGTTTGCCGACCACAGCCCTAGGCCATGGAGCTACCTGGTCCCAAGCAAGGTTTTCTTGATCTTCCAGGGTGGAAATGGACCTGAAGCACTCAGCCCAGGACAGGGGCAGGACAGCATGGTGCAGCTTCTGAACACGTCTCTCAGTGCAGGGGACTGGGGTAATTACCTCGCTCAGCCACCACCGTGGTTTCCTGAGGGTTCTGGGCCCCTCCTGCTGCCCCTCCAGGCATGGAAGCACCCTGAAACTTCCTCACCACCCCGTCCCCATGGCCTGGTGCCTCCCTTTTGCCCTATAATGGTCTCAAGTTGGTTTACTGTTAACCTCCCAAGCCTCCTAGGTGAGCAGATGCAGGGAGCTAAAGGTCACTGCCCTCAGCAGTCACCTGCTGCTGCTGCTGCTGCTGCCCCTCCCACAAAAGCACTGTGCCTGCCAGTGAGCCTGCCTCACACTCTGTGCTTGCCACACATTGTCCCCAGTGCTGGAGACGTGAAAGGAGTTTCATTCTTCCTTCATCCAACAATCCCAGTCCCAGAAAGTCAGTAGCCCCACAGCCACAAAAAGTGACCAAAGTCAGTTACCTGACTGGACCCCAGGCACCTCTGGTCACCAGTGAGGGAGTCAGCGGTTCAGTACTCTTAAGATTTGCCTCTTCAAACCCACCCACTGACACAAAATGATCAACCCCCAAATAACTCGAAGTTGAAGGTCATACAGTAAGCCTGAAGCAAGGAGCAACATAGCTCAACACTCTCCTGTTTGGTTATTATAAGGAAAGTTTCAAGAGGACATTTCATGTATTAAAATAATTTCTATAAACTCTTTCAGGATAATAAAATTCACTTTTCTCACTTAAGTAGCATTTCAAGTGGAAGTACTTTTATTTCAAGGCACCAGATTATGATGGTCTCTCTAAGAACACATCTGCTTCCATATATGAAAATCCTAAAAAACACACAAAAAGTTCTGCACGGTGATCAAAGCCACCTACCGATCAACTTTCCTTAACATGAGTGTGTTCAACAGGGCATGGGTGACGGGGGACCTGACACACTCATTACAACTGACAGCCTTGGAGCAGATCCCCCTGCCAAGGCCCCAAAAGGACAGAGAGATAAACTGAACACTTGTAATTAGAAAGAGCCAGTGGGACCCTCAAAACCAAAAGTCCATGTAAACGTGTTAGCATTGGCGTCTCCCCCTTCCTCCTCCTCCTCACTTCTCCTCCTCCTCGCTCAGGTTGGCATTCCCCTGGAGTGCGGATGTCAGCTTGTTTTGCAACAGGGCTGCCAGTTTTTTGGATGTCTTTTTGAGAAACGCGCTGCCCGGGTGGGCACTGTTCACGTGCAGGTACAGGTCCTCCTGGGTGGGGCCTGTGTAGCCACAATCCTCACAGACATAGAGCTTGTCCCGGCGTTGCTTGTAGGCATACTGCTGCTGCACCCCGTGGATTTTCTTCAGGTGGGACTCCAAGGAGCAGCGCTGGGTGAAGGCTTTGTTGCAGACGTCACATTTGTAGGGGCGAATGCCTGCAAGGGCAAGGGGCAGACACATCACCAGTTGGTCATGGCCAAGCCAGAGCCTTCCAACTAAAAAGCCAAAAGAAATCATTACGCACATCCCAACAGCAAATGACCCGATTCAAAACCAGGCATAGGAATTGAACAGACATTTTCCCAAAGAGGACATACAAATGGCCAACAGCACATGAAAAGGTGCTCAGCATCATTAATCATCAGGAAAATGCACCTCACAACCACGATGAGATATTACCTCATACCTGTTACAATGGCTATTATAAAAAAGAAGAGATAAGAAGTGTTGGCAAGAATGTGGAGAAAAGGGAACCCTTGTGCACTGTTGGTGGGCTTGTAAACTGGCACAGCTACTATGGAAAACAGTATGGAAGTTTCTCACAAGAGTTAAAAATAGATCTACCAAAAGATCCAGCAACCCCACTTCTAGAACATATATCCAAAGGAAATGAAAACAGGATCTCAGAGAGATATCTGCCCTCCCACAGTCATAGCAACATTAACCACAACAGCCAAGATATGGAGACAGCCTAAGTGTCCATCAATGAATGAACAGATAAAAAAGCCATCATCTATTTGTACAATGGAAGATTATTCAGCCACAAGAGAAAAGGGAATCCTTTGTCAAATTTTTTGACAACATGGATGGATCTTGAGGGCATTATGCTAAGTGAAATAAGCCAGACAGAGAAAGACAAATACAGCATTGGTATCACCTATATGTAGAAACGTTAAACCTATAGAAACAGAATAGCAGAATGGTTGGTAGGGGGTGGGGAGCAAGGGTAGAGAGAAATAAAAGTCATCATGACCAAGGATTCAAAAGGAGGAAAATGGTTAAGGCAGGAGACAAAACTGTCCACAAAAGTTTACAACATCCACACAAGCAAACGTAACCAAAATGGATGCAAATATAGCAAGCACACACCACCTGGCTTGGGGAGGAGGTGTTTCATTCTTCCTACTTGTACACCTACTTGTACTTAATGTTTTGATTTTAGAGTGGGCAAAATAAACACTGTTTTTATCTTAGTTTGAGTTTTCCAGGAAACAGCCCTGCGATCAAGATTCCTCTACGAGTTACTTGGGATGGGACTCCAGGAAGCTCCTGTAGGGGAGTGAAGAATTGAGACAGGGAGGGGTCATCGCGCCAGCCCTTGCCGTGGGTACCAGAGTCCCGTGGGCTAGGCAAGTTGGGAAACACTGCAGAACACTCACCTCTGAGTCACCTGCCCCCTGGGAGCTAGGTCTTTACCCACCAGCTCCAACAGCAGTGTTGAAGGCTGCCCTTGGGTCGATCTGAACTTCTGGCCTGCCTCACATAGGGGGAGTGGGCTCCAGCAACACAAGAACAGGGTGCAGGCGTGGGCAGTTGCTGCAAGGATGGGTGTGCCCAGAAATGGCATGGGCTGGGGGCAAGGGCAAGACGCTTTTGGCAGCTGCTACAGTTATGAAAGCATTTCCAAATTAGATCTCCTACTGGCTTTAGAATTGGGTTAATATTAGTGGGGCTTGCCTTCCAAATGGAGAGTTCGCATGTGCCAAATATACCACGGAGCTCAGTTTTACCAAAGCACAGTCTCTCCTATTTCCACCATCGGTACTCAACTCGACCATGGGAGGTCGGATATCAGATCAAGAGACTTAAGTAAGGTTCTAACTTAGGCTCTAAAGTTGGGGATCCTGGCTGTAAAGTAAGCACAGTGTCACATAAGCATGAAGCCCCGGAGAGGGTGAATATTGTGTTTGGGGTACATGGAGCAGAGGGCGGGGGCTGCCACCACAGTCAGACCATCCCAGAGCCCAGAGGTCAGGAGGGTCACAGCCTGGAGGAATCCTATTAGCCTCAGGCATAAAATTAAACGGTATCCCCAAAACTCATCTACCAAGTAAATATTTAAAAATCAAAACATAGAAAAAATACAATATGATGTTATTAAAATTTTAAATAAGGACAGGATCCATCAATACCATGTGCAGCTACACTTGAGGTGAAAAGAAAAACATGCACCCTATGCAATATATATATATATATATATATATATATATATATATATATACACACACACACACACACATATACTACATATTTTTAAAATTAAATGTATTGAGGAACATTGGTTAATAATATTCTATAACTTCCAGATGTACAAGATTATAAATTGAATATCTATGTATTCTAGTTTCCTTTCCTTTTTTTGTTTTGTTGTTAATTCTCACTTAAGGATACTTTTTCTATTGTTTTTTTTTTAGAGAGAGTGGAAGGGAGGGGGAGAGACAGAGAGACAGAAATACCAATGTGAGAGAGGGGCAGGGGATCGAGCCTACAGCTGAGGTATGTGCCCTTGACCAGAATCCCTTCAGTCTGCTGGCCAACACTTTAATCACTGAGCCAAACTGGCTAGGGCAGAAATTAGGATTTTTAAAGATTAAGAATTTTAATATGTGTAAAGATACAAAAATTAGTAATAGGGCTCTGGTTTCCTTTCTATACCATGTATTTGATCCATTTACCCACTTAGCCCTATTCCTCATCCTCTTTTTCTGGTAACTACCATTCTGTTGTTGTATCTATGAGTTTGTTTTGCTAGTTTGATTTTTTTGTTTTATATTCCACATGAATGAACTCATCCAGTTTTATATATTTTTAAGTTATTTCCCCCCATAATGTTTGAGTTGTTGAAAAAATATTGAAAATAGATGTATTAAATGAAAATGAAAATACAACAACCCAAAATCTATGTGACACAGGAAAGCAGTCCTAACAGGGAAATTCATAGCAATACCAGCCTACACCAACAAACAAGAAAAACCTCAAATAAACAATCTAACCTTACCTAAAGGAACCAGAAAAAGAACAATAAAGCCCAAAGTGAGTAGAAGGAAGTAATCAAGATCAAAGCAAAAATAAGTGAAATAGAGTCTAAAGTCAGAAATGAAGACATGACAACTGACACTACAGAAATACAATGGATTATAAGGAAATATTACGAACAGTTATATGCCAACAAATTGGACAATCTGGAATGGATAGATTCCTAAAAACATACAATCTCCTAAGATCAAATCAAGAAACAGAAAATCTGAACTGACTGATTACTACCAACATAATCAAATCAGTAATCAAAAACTCCCAACAGCCCTGACCAGTTTGGCTCAGTGGCTAGAGTGTCGGCCTGTGGACTGAGGAGTTCCAGGTTCGATTCCGGTCAAGGGCATGTACCTTGGTTGCGGGAACATCCCCAGTAGGGGGTGTGCAGGAGGCAGCTGATGGATGTTTCTCTCTCATGGATGTTTCTAACTCTCTATCCCTCTCCCTTCCTCTCTGTAAAAAATCAATAAAATATATTAAAACAAAAAACAAAAAACTCCCAACAAACAAAAGTCCGGCACAAAGATGGCTTCACAGCTGAATTTTACCAAACATTCAAAGAATTAACACCTACCTTTCTCAAACTATTCCAAAAAATTCAAAAAAAGGGAAAGCTTCCAAGCTCAGAATATTCAAAACAATCTATCGATTCAATTCAATCCTTATCAAAATATCGATGGCATTTTGCACAAAACTAGTATGAGTAATCCTAAAATTTATATGGAAGTACAAAAGACCCCAAATAGCCACAGCAATCTTGAGAAAAAAGAACAAAGTTGGAGGTATCAACTACCTGATGCTACAAAGCTACAGTAATCAAAATATCATCCGGCCAATGCAGCTCAGTGGTTGTGTCAAACCAAGGACCAAGAGTCCACTGGTTTGATTTGCAGTCAGGGCACATGCCTGGGTTTCAGGCTCCATCCCCAGTAGGGGGCGTGCAGGAGGCAGCCAATGGATGTTTCTATCTCTCTATCCCTCTCCCTTCTTCTCTCTCTAAAATCAATAGAAATATATTTTAAAAAAAAAAAGACATAGCTACTTAAAAACAACAACAGACACATAGATCAATGAAATAGATTAGAGAGCCCAGAAATAAACTCACCCCTATATGGTCAATAAATCTACGACAAAGGAGGCAATATGCACCCCTATATTCATTGTAGCATTATTTACCTCCAAGATATAGGAGCAACCTGTGCCCATCTATATATATAAAAGCCTAAGCAACTGTTACGACCAGATGACTGATGACTGGACGACTGGCTGTTAGCTATAATGCGCTCAATGCAGGAGCTGCCCTCCGATGGACAATGTGCTCCCACAGCCAACCTCCCACGGCCGGCCAACCTCTCATGATCCCTCCCCCGAGCCAGCTGGCCTGCCCCAATCGGGACTGTGCAAGATGGCCCTGATCATGCACCGGGCCTCTAGTTGATACATGAATGGATAAAAAGTGGCCCTGGCCTGAGCATTGTCCCGTCCATGCACTGAAAGGTTACCGGTTTGAATCCTGGTCAGGGCAGCCTGGGAGGCCTGCACAGCAAAGGCTAGCAGATTTCGTAGCCCTGTCTCAAATTGGGTGACTGCAGCACATTTTGTGTGTGTTTTCCCAGGAAGGGGTGGGAATGAGCCTGGCTTGGAGGACAGGTGACTCACAGACACAGAGATGGAAAGGAAACAGTAGGCCCTGAAAACTCTAGTTACAGCACTTCTGACTTTATACACCTGCCTCCCCTCCCCCCCTTTCTCTGTAAATAACACATTCACACCTCACTCATTGGTGTAGGCAGACACGCCATCCAGCAGCCTCTTGGTAACCCTTTCTGGAGTTGGGAACAAGCCCCTCCCTCCTGAAGCCCCTCATTCCCCCCATGAATTCAATAGAGGGAGATAAAGGTGGCCAGACAGAAGCCCTGGACAAGGGGGACTGATGCCAAGTCCTGCCTGACATTGGGGTCTCATCCACCTTAGAGCTCAGAAGCAAAGGCCAATCCTGTCCATGTCTGTAGTGGGATTCTAAAAAACACCATCCCTGCTCCAGACACCATTCACCTACTGACACGTAGAGAGTAACAGAGTCCAAGGCCACTGAAAACCCAGGCATCACATGTCTGCTACTCTTTAACTGAGACCATGGTCAGATTGCTGAACACCCTATCCCCACCTTAGTTTTCTTACC